CCTCCCTCACCTGAATGTGCTTCTTCTTTTGACACTCCTGTGTTGCCTTGGCTGTATGTTCAGGGGCATTGTCCTGCTGGAAGACCCCTCCATGACCCATTTTCAGTGTCTGAGGGAAGGAGGCTATCGGAAAAGATTTTACGGTGCATAGCCCCGTCCATCCTCTCCTCGATGCAGGGAAGTGGTCCTGTCCCCTTAGCAGAGAAACACCCCCAAAGCATAATGTTTCCATGGAAACATTATGCTTTGGGGGTGTTTAGCATGGTTCAGCATGTTGTTCACCATGGAGGTGCACCTCCATGCTGACGGTGGGGATGGTGTTCTGGGGTTATCCTCATACCCCACGGGGCGAGATCTTGTGTGGAGCCCCAGAACGAGGGCGATTGATTGTTGATTGATGCCCATTTTACTTTTCTTCCATTTTCAAATGATGGCACCAACAGTGGTCTCCTTCTCACCAGGCTGCTTTCTGATAGTCTTGTAGCCAATCCCAGCCTGGTGCAGGTCTACAGTCTTGTCCCTGAGGTCCTTAGACAGCTCTTTAGTCTTGTCCATGGTGGAGAGGCTGGAATCTGACTGATTGATTCTGTGGACAGGTGTCTTTTATACAGGCAACAAGTTGATATTATGATATTTTTTAAAGGAAATGGACTTATGTAACCGGTCTGTGGGAGCCAGAATTCTTGTTGGTTGCAAGGGGATCAAATACTTCCCACAGTTAAATGCAAATCAATTTATATCTTTTATATAATGTCAATTTCTGAATTTTCTTTTAGATATTCTTATTCTCATTGTTAAAATAAACCTAACATTACAATTATAGACTGTTTTTTCTTTGTAAGTGGGTAAATCGGCAAGGGATCAAATAGTTATTTCCTCCACTTTTTCCTCCATGCACAAAACATCCCACATAAAATGAAAACAAGTCCGGCTATAATAGTAGCATTAGAGTTGTCGTGCATATGCACTCACCAGTGCCTCCTGTCTGTCTAGGACCATGCTCCAGTTGACAGAAGAAAGCCTCTGAGTTCCCCTTGATGCACCGGAAGAAGAGCTGGCCTCTCCTATTCCTACAGGACCCACACGGTCCCCCATCTGCAAAACATTGAGTCAATTAAGAAGCAGACCGGAAAAACTATTAGTGTATCATTTATTAACTATAGAGTATTAAATAAATATAATCCACAGTATGAGGGCAAACAGAAACTGTGTGTGGTCTACACAAATTATGTCTTCAATATGAAAGACGTTGTGTAAGAAATCTAAATAAAAACTGCATCAATAAACTTTGTCAAGAAATGCAGCCAATAGTATTTGTGACTCCTGTGTTTGTCTTTGTTCCAGACGTGAGTCTCATTCTTACCTCGGTATGTCTGAAAAGACTATTCCTATTATGTCCTTGCAGATTCAGCTTGCCATCATTTTCCTCACCAATAGCATTACTCCCCACAACCCCCAGCCCACGCAGGGCATCATAGGTGGTCTGGACCACAGTCGCCGGGAGAGGGATGGTCGCAACCCCACCGTCATTTCCGCTTTCCTCACTCCCACTGCTTCCATCCCCACCTCCTCCATCCCCTTCAGTTACATGAGGACAGAGAGGAGTATCGGTCTTAATTTAGTGTCCCTCAAAACTACAAAAAAATCAGTTCCCTGTTAAATGATTTCATGCTTTAGTATCCTTTCACTTGGAAATAACAAGAAAGCAAGAAAACGAGCCAGGGAACACAAAAGAAAGAAAAACAAGGCAGTGACAATCATTTAAGCTGCATATTGTACCCGTGACTGGAGGGTTGATGACCTGTCCCTCAGCCGATCGTCTCTGTTCAATCCCAGATAGAGATGGACCGCCGCGGCCACTGGAAGCCTCATCATCAGAACTGCCTCCCTCTAAGCCTGGCCTGAAACTGGGACGATTGCTCTCTCCAACCTGTGTCCACATGTAGACATGAACACACGCACACAAAAACAACAATTGTCCAAAGAAAACTTGTTTTACAAGACCTATGAATAATGGAGCTACTCAATATTTGAGAGTTTAAAAACAATAACAATATCGTTTTCTATTTCTGACCAGTTGTCTTGAAGTGCTGGGCAGCAGCCGTGTCCGGGTAGCATTGCTGTCCCTTCTGGCAGACTCCAGCTCATCCTCAGTGTCCTCATCACTGGCTGGACAGGAGTCCATACCTGTAGCAGCAAGACGCACATCAGGCATCTGAAAGTCTTCCTGAGGAAAACATAGGGAAACAAGATACAGAAAGAAATTAGAAAAAATACAAAGTGAAACATATATTTTGCAGAGACATGATTTAAGAGTTCTTTCATTTGAGTAAGATTTACAGAAGTAATTTCAGAATTGTAGAATGTCAATAAGTGAGCTTTAGAATGAGTAAAGCCGGTGCAATCGGGTTTCTTGCTCCAAATTTCCAGTTAATAATTATAAAACTTAACAGTACTTTCAGGAAGATGATATTTCACGCAGTGTGTAAATGTGCTCACCTGATTGTAGTCATCGAGAAACTGGTGTCTATACTGCTCTGGTTCTGTAGAACTTGGGTTTGAATTGTTGTCAGTAGCACCTGGCCGTCCCTATGATCATTGAAGGCAGAAATTAAAATGAATAGGGACATTGAGTAATATGGATTAAGGGAATGACTCTTGATTAAATATAACTGTTTTCTAAAGGTACACTTATGATGGGCAGTGTAAGTGAACAAGTCCTAAGAGCGTAAAGTGTTTGAAATGGAGAAGAGAATTACTGTCACAGGAATCTCCTGGCCCTCCACTCTGCCTCGCTGCATGAGGAGGGGCACCAGCTTATTGAAATACAGCTCCAGCTCATCATCATCTGGAGAACAATCACATGTTCACAACATGACTCAAGCTTTTACAGAATGTCTGCAATCCATGTTTTTTCCTACATTTAAAATATAAAGAATGTATGAACCTGTGATATCGCTACTGATGCTGTCCATGGACATTAGCTTCTCATTTGCCAGGAAGCTAGAGTTACTGCCACTGAAATGGTCACTGTCCACTCCCTCACGCTGCACATTGTCCTCGTCAGCTGTAGCAGGTAGAGGCTGAGCCTAAATGAATTGCACCGGAAAAGAAAAAGTATTTGCAAACGTTTTTTGTTTGAGATAAAAAAAAAAGACCATTTTGAAATAAAACCATCCAAAACACAAACCTTTATTCAAACATAGGATTTCACTAGGTATTCCTTAAAGGTATACTGGGCCGTTTTTTTAAATCGTTTTAGAAGAAATAGTGTATATTGAAAAAGGTCAAATATGCTTATATATAAAGACAAGCTAAATTAAATGGCTTTTTCTTTTATAATATACAGGACATATTTAGTTTGAGCAGTGAATGATATGTATTTGTACCCATTGACAAGATGGGTACAAATTGGCAAAACAAGACTGTAAAAATAACAGCAAAACAATTATCCCAGATAAAAAGTACAACTGCTATCTGTTCAAAGGGCAAACCAGAGTTGGTACCTTTGCATCTGTGTTTTCTTTTTGCCCAAAATGGGCACACGTCAGGAGCCCCGTTGAAAGATCTGTCGAACAATCAGTAAAAGCTAAATGCATTATTATCTTCAAGAAAAAGTGTCATCACCTAATAATGAGAATATGTTGTTCTCTTTCTATCAGAAAGCACAAAAATACCATGTCCATATAAACTGTAAGTCCCTGAAGTACTAGGTGAAGCCAATTCGACATCATTACCGATAATCAGGATGGGAGTATTGCCACAGTGTTATACCTATAAATGAGGCGAGACAGGTGCACTACCACGTACCTGTTCCAAGCTCTGTGTGCCGGCTGTGGACTGAGCCCATCTGTGGAGAACACAGCCTCAGCATGGAGGCTTGGTTTTGAGATGCACTCTCATCCAAATTAATCTTTACGAGCATGTCTGAGAGACGGTGAGCTGCAATGAAGTCATCCGCATTGTCCCTGTAATACAGTCAGTGATGTATATCATTATGACCACATCAAAGCTTCATGTGAAAAGGAAGAATATGAATTACTACAGTTAAACATATATATGAATGTTCAGTAATACATTTAACATTTGAGTATTAAAATTAGGTAGCTTTTAGTATGACTGGCTGTAATTGAGGTCCTCTTTGCGAAATGTAAATAACTGTCAAACAAACAAGAAAACCTTTTTAGACAAAAAATCTGTTTTAAAAAAAATGAATATAATATGAGCGTTTTTAGTCACAGACAACATTGCAAAACCAAATCAGCTGCGTAAATACTCACAAGTCATCCTTGAAGCTTAGGGCGAACATGGGTTGTTCCCTAAGAAAGGACTGGGATTTGGCCTGCTGCTCTTGGCCCTCCAGATATGACGCCTCAACAGGGTCTTCTCTGTAAAGCAAGACAACTTAGCATTGATCCAACAAGATTTGTAACAGACTAAACTGCTCTAAATCATGGTTACTTTAAAATAGTGCACAAAGCAACTGAACACTGACTCACTATGAACATCCCCAGTGCTGTTCCTGTTCACTTTGTGGGACATTTCAAAAGAAAATAGGGCTGTAACAACTTTTTATTAACAAACAAGTATCCATATTCAGTTCTATATTTGGCAGGCGTGTACATATGTATCTCTTTTTTTGCATATCAGTATTTCCTATTTCCAGTAGCCTTTAACGGCTTGAATTAGTAGAAACATAAACTCTGAAATAGGAATTGGAATGATTTCAGCATACATTATTGTCACACTAGTCAGATAGCCTGTGTGATGATTCAGAGAAACATGCATGAGATCATTTCCATATCAAGTCACATCTGTCCAAAGCAGCAGCATGCTCCCACCTGTTGTCAGATCCTGGTTTAATTTTAGCCACTGTAGAAGCAGCCACTGGAAGCCCTGGGCCTGAACCCAATGTCACATTCCCCAGTGTGGCACGGCCACTGGTGCTGTCCAGAGACTTGCAGAGGAAACTCGGGAAGGCTTCATCTTCCAACTTGTAAAAGCGGTCTGCCATCTTTTTTGAATGGAGCAGGGAAACAGCCAAATGTGGCTTGACTTCAGTTCATTTGAAGTCCATCTAATGACTAGATACATTAAAAAAAGAGACATTTCGGGGGGGTTATTAGCCTACGTCTTAGTAAACTGTTTGAAACTTGACATTGCACAGATACTTTATCTAGCAGCAGCTTTGTGTGCAACGTTACATGTTTATCGACACCACCTTGCGAAAACTAGCGGGGAAAGGTTATTTTTTTGTAACACTTGTTTTGAATATGTGCATACATGTTGTAGCCTGGCTTTACAGTTTGAACTTGTCGTCTACAAAAAAACTTGAGAGCAATTCATTAGATAATGATGATGCTAGGTTAGCTTACTCTTTACGCTAGCTAGTTTACGGGACTTGCTAAAAACAAGTGGGTTCGTCAAAACTAACGTTACTCCACTATGTTCATTTATTCAGTTACAGAGAGAAGTGTTCGAGAACAAAAGTTACAGGCAACAGATAGGTTGAGCAGTTAAATCTGCTAGCTATTCTTACCAAAATCCTTAAAGACTGTCCATTTTAGAGAGAATAAGCGTTAAATCAGAACGCAAACGTTATCGTTAGTTGTACTTCAACTTACATTCAATACTCCAGAAGGGCCGAAAGACCACGGTTCTTATTCCAACTCGAATGTTCCCTCATAAACTATTGAACACACGTTGCGAAATGCAGTTCAGTTCCAAAAGTGACTCCTTAAATCCTTAAGTTGTTCATTATTAGTTAGAGCAGGCACAACAAACACCGTGCAACAGTTCGAAGCAAGCAGCGCCCAGAATCGGCATGAAGCCCGCGTGAGCGTCACGTTATGTGGGCAGGACTTAACTAAATTCAAACACTGTGATTGGTCAAAAAAAACAGAGGGAGGAAATTGTCTATCATGATAGGATGTGATTCATGTTGTTCTTTTGGACTTGGTTGGAAAAGTAACTAATTTCGTCAGTCGTTTTACATGATGGCTGACAGAAAGAGTGGATATGATTGTTTTACACATGACTTGCAGTAACTTGCCAAGGGTGGAGTTTGTTTTATCAAGTGTTCTGCTTAGCAGCGGCAAGAACGCCAACTTAGCATGCTGCATCCCATGCATTCCAGGTTTTGAGTGACAATATTAAATTGTAGCCTCCCTGTAAAAACAAATGACAGTTTATTTCCCTAATTTCAGAGTAAAGATCAAAAGTCTGTTTCTGCCATCAGAAGTCAAGTCCACAAACACATTGAATTAATAAGGATCAGTTACATAGTCATGCATTTATTAATGAAGTGTATTGTTTGAGTGTAATGGGAAAATTGTTTTAAAAAAAATCCCATCTTGGGCTATTTATTACTTCCAAAAAGGGGTACGTGTGCCGTTGAAAAACTCGATGAGCGCTGTGATAAAAAGTCCTCTGCAGGAAGAGTGCCACAGTGACGCGTCCTAAAACCCGTAAGTAAGCTGCGCATGGGTTCCTTCGACAAAAAAACAATTTCTCCATAGGATTTTGGAAAATAGCTCGAAATAAGGTCCGTGGTTGACACACATTTAAGAGATGGATCACGTTTTGTTCAGTCGGATAATCTCCACATGTCTACCCTACTTTTATAATGTTCGAATCATAAATCTAATCGATAGATTTATGGTTTTTGTCGAAGGGACCCATGCGCAGCTTACTTCCGGGTTTTAGGACGCGTCACTGTGCAAATCAAAACATGTGCTTTGCATTGGGCATTCTTTAAAGCACTAGCATACAAAACCAAATATGTGAGATGTTCAGATTTTATTCAGGGTTACAAAAAAATGGCTCTAAACATTTCACAGAAACTTCATGACACCTTTTTCTATATTATGCACAGGAAAAAGAACAAAACATTATAAAATAGAGACATACATTGAAGTCTTTATTAGAAATGAATGGCACTTGGGTGGTTTGTGCCCATCCCCCAATCAATCCCTTTTAATTCTAGCTATAACACCGCTACATCACTGTCCTTCAGCCTCTGGTAAAGACAGCAGTGCTCTGGAGAGTCTGTGGGGAAGAGCCTGTTGCTGAGGCTGAATGGGCTCAGCATCACAGTGCTCAATCAGGGAGGAGGGAGGCAGAAAGTGACCATACCTGGTCCCCGCTCTGGGAGGGTCCAGAGGCGGAAAGAAATACCTGAAGCAACACAACATGGATCGAGACAAAGACGACAAACATGTGGACAGGGCGAAGACAATGACAATGGAATACAGAGAGGAAACAATTCAAAGGAGATATGAGATTTTTTTTTTTATTAGGAGGAGGAAAAAAAAGTGAATTGCAGACAATAGTGATGGGTGCATGTCATTTTAAAGGTGTATGTTAGTAAAAAAGGTGAACTGTCAGCAAACATATTGGATCAAAGAAAAAGGAACACTGTGGAGAACAGAAACATGCCGTTTTCAACACAAACAGGGCTTTTAACAGCACAACCTAAGATGGGACATAACTCACACATTTCAAATGCATTAACAAAAGCTCAAATGGTTGCTGGTTCAGAGGAGACATTAATAATATGCAGGATGCTGCTGGGATATCTTTGGAGAGGTCAGCTGCCGCAGGGGAGGGGCAAAGGGAGCTCTCTTGCCAATCCTGCATGCAACAAGCATTACAATACCATATTACTTAAACCACTCAAACTCATTCTTTGTCAACAAGGAATAGGGACGCAAGAAAAAGCTTTTCTGCAAAGTTATTTTCCAGTATGACATTTTAGTACAATCACTTTGGTTGCAAAAGTATTAGAGCACAACATTTCATACAGTAAACACATTTTGTTACTCAGTTTAGAGGTTATTCAAAGGTCAAGTCAAAGACGACAAGAAATGCTATGACGGATGTTTTGTTGAGTTAGAGGTTATTTAGTTGAACATAAATACAGCCACATAAAAACTCTCATAACAACAGTGGTAACTTTGAACCTGTTTTATACGCAATCAAATAGTAACAGTTGCTTATTTATAATCCAAATGTTAAAGCAAGCCTGTGTTACATTTGCTGAACAGCGACCACTGTGGCTTTAGTGAAAGTCTTTGTTTTAAACTTTGTAATTGTAGAAGATGTAGTCAGAGTCAGCAGGAAGTAAGCAACAGAAAGGTTTTGATCAGACCCAACAATGTATGGCTTGAGAGCAATACCCGAGTACACTGTTCGCAATTAAGAAAGAGTGAGTTTTATTGCTCATCAATTCAACACTTCATTTATAAAAGAAAGATGCGTTATCTCTTCTTTTAAAAGTGACGTAGTCTTTTCCTAAAGCCATTTAGGTCAGCAGCTATATTCATACCCATACTGCATGTGTTGTTCTATTTCTGTTGTCATTTTAGTGGGTTAATGACGTTTATTCAAGCTGTTCTTCTGCACAGCAAAGCGTTTGGCAATACTTGCTCGAGGATACATTCAAATGTAAAAATATGTGAAATTAAGAGACAGATTACTGAGCTTTGATTTAATTGCTCATCTCAAAATGGAAGTAGTCACAACAATGTTGGATGTCAGGATGTAGTAAACTGAAGCTAATCAAATTTCTCGATATTAAAAAAAAAAGATCTTCCCCATCAAAATAATCATTTGAAAAAGTCAAATTTATATAAAAACAGGTTTATTTTACATTTTGCACCAATTATGTGGTTAGCAGGGACAAAACAAAGTGGAAACTACTCTTGCATGCATCTGTACAAACCAAGAGCAAATTCCCTAATAAAAAAAACAACACAACACATGAACAGACTCTTTGCCTTGAAGCCAAGCTCTTTGCATGAGTGCAGCATTTGGTCAGTAAGGGCCTGGGGAGTTTGTCAGGGAGCAGCTGTAGTCCCGGTCAGTGTGAGGCGGAATAAGGGGTCAGTTCTGTCTGGTGCGGGTCAGGCTGGGTGAGTGGCGGCCACACCACCTACCTTCCTGCAGACATCCCGTTTTGGGTGTTCTGGGATGTCTGAACGGAGGAGCCCACGACAGTGCTCATAGCTGTGGGCTGACCCGATGAGCCGGTGAGGGGGCTGCCGTCTCCCTTCAGGATTCCCGTGCACTTCCAGTTGTCCATGTAGTTAGCTGCAGGAATCAAATCAGTAAAACTAATTGTAACTTAAAATGACTCAAAGTTAATAATGTCCTTTACACATGCTTTATTTTACCTTATTTGTCCTTTTTCTTTTTAAGTTATTATAGTGTTCTTAAAATGGTTCTGTTTTTTTTTTACTTTTATGTATGCACCACGATACCAAGTCAAATTCCTTGTACGTGTCAACCTACCTGCTAATAAACCTGTTTCTGATTACACATAGGGAAGTGGAAAAGCTGATGGGAGAATTTGAAAACAGCTTAACTTTTATCATTTTTTTTTTGTGTATCTTTCTACTTTATGTGTATTCTGCATTACAATGGACAGTTGAAATGTCATACAGATGTGACGGGTCTATGTCATAATCACACTAATGCATCTTGTGGACCTTTGTTTTGAAATATAACAGAAATGTATGTATCATAACAACTCAAAAGATATGAGCAAGACTGCAATTTTTGTTCAGGGGTCAATGACAAGCTAATTTAATTAGTACAAAAAACATCATACAATTTGTAATAGCAAGCATTAAAATAATATGACATGTTTGAACGTAAAAATAAAAGAACTACATGACTAGACGGAGTCTTTGCTGCTGCACATCATTACGTAGATGATTTAAGTGCATGTAACAGTAACACCACTTAGTTAGACACAAATTAGAGTCTTAACACTGTGAGAGTATTTCAGGTCTGTTTGTGACATTGGACTAGGGCTGCACGATATTGAAAAAAACTGACATTGCGATATCTTTTCCCCCTGCGATATATATTGTGTTTTTTTTAACTATATTTAACCGGATGAAGGATTTTAGTCACGGACGTCTGGATCTTAACTGGTTGACTCATCATACCTTAAGTCATGATCTAACATGTCATGATAATGCATGTTGCTTACCCTCAAATAAGGGGGTTCATCTGTGAATGAAGAAGAGAAGAACCTTTTTGTATCCCAAATAGTTCCAGATGGCAGATGTTGCTTTTCTTTTTGGAAGTAAATCTTCATTCTCGCCGGTATTGTCCTCCTCTGCCTCGCTCATTTTTTACCGGTGTTTTGATGGTCTGCAAACTAGCGGGGCGTGGCCTGCTGTGGTCTGATCAAGAATTATTGTGATTGGTGGTTTGCTGTGCATGCAGAGCCTGCATGTCACTCACTCAAGTACCCCTGACATGAGAGCCGCGCAAGTTTTCCTTTTGTAGCAAGCAGCAAAATAATTGTAACATGACGTGTTTGAGTTAATGTACCTACTTAATGTCACACGTCCTAAAAAAAAAAAAAGGAAAAAGAAAGGAAAAAAAGAAAATTATTATAAAAAATGTATAAAATCGCACATCCCCGCGATGTGAATATCGCGCATGCGCATATCGCCATGACACGATATATCGTTTAGCCCTACATTGGACTGTCTGATTGATCATTCCTCAATTGAATGACGTCAGCAATGCATTAGCGAAAGTTGCGTAATACCTGCTGAGAGTCACTGTTCACTCAAACTAGCATTTTTCCAAAAAAAGTTCTGGTAGCTATCACTAACATGAAAAGAAGACCCATGAGCAATAATCAATAGAAGCAAAACATAGCCTGTTACCTTTCCAGAGGCGCACACAGCCATCATCCCCAGAGGAGGCCAGCAGGGTGCTGGTGATGTTCCAGCTCACACGCCACACCTGAGAGTTATGGTTATCAAACTGGGCCACAATCTGCAATTCCAACTTG